TTTTTTAAAAAAGTAAAATATTGACATTTACTGTGTATGTCTTAGACATTAACATTTTATGATACGACCATGAGAAATTTCTTTGGTTTTGACGTTCTAGAATCTATGTCACTATATCATTTTAAACTTTAATAATACTTAGAAAATCCTGAGGGGCTACTTCCAATATTTAGGTATCATGAACCACGCTACCAACAGATTGAGAATTAAGAAAACGTATTTAAACACAGTGGAGTACTATCTGCCATAAAGAAAGATAAACTGGTCATTTGTAAAAAATTGTTGCACTGAGACCATAATGTTAAGTGAAATAAACTAATCTAAATATCACATGGCTTTTCTTCTGTGAGAAACTCAAAATACAAAGATCAAAATAAAAGACCGATAATAGGAAGTAGGGAACTAGATTTTTCGCAAATGGGAATGGTATCACAAGAGGAAGGGAAGAGGAGAGTAAAGAAAGAAAGGAGATACAAGGAACTAACATGTGTCATGCACAGGTACCGACTCCACACACAGAATGTAAACATTATGTACTGAGAACATGTAGTAACTGAAAAAAAAAAGAGAGGAAATCCTGATGGAAGAAAACTCAAGCGGCTGGGGAGAGGGCTCAGTAAAATAAGTGCTTCCCTGGCAAGCGCAAGGACCTGAGTTCAAACCCCAGTTCCGCAAAAGAAAAAAGTTTGTAATAAAATAATTACTGTCAAAAACAAACAAACAAATAAATAAGATAAAATAATCACTGTCAAATCCCTATTACTTTAACGAAATTTTGTATGACTTCTAATTTTTTTTTTTTTTACCATTTTGTATATTCTTTAAAAAATAAAATACAAGGGCTGGTGAGATGGCTCAGTGGTCTAAAGCACCTACTTAGAACAAGCTAAGCTAAGCAAAGCACAAGGACCACAGTTCAATCCCCCAGCACCACATGCCAGCCAGCCCTGCCCCCTGGTGGGCTGAGCTGGCCACACACACACACCAAATAAATAAATAAATAAATAAATAAATAATAAAATACAAGCTGTATGCTCTTTTAAAAAAAAGAAAAATCAGTTCTCTCAGAGGTAATCCTTTTTCATAGCTAATACTAAAGGTTGGTAAAATATGCACTTAGATAAGACAGATAAAAGTGAGGCAAAGAAATTGCTAAAAGAAATATACCAAAGGAATAAGGATGAAGTGTATATCTTATTATTCATTTTCACCAGTAAATTCAGATTCACAATCAGGAGTTTGTGAAGATTCCAATTACTAAAGATAATTTGCAACATTAAAGTTTTTTTTTACTTTTTTTTGTATTTAGTCTAGGGTCTACAGGGTCTCACTACATAGACCAGACTTGTAGTGATCCTCCTGTTTTGAGAATCCCAAACCCTGGGATTAGAGGTGCACACCACCACGCCCAGTCTCAACTGCTGTCTCAGGGCGCACCGGGTGGGGGCAGAGCCCATACCGCATGCTGGGGATTGAGCCCTGGCTGCTGCACCCTGCCTAAGCAGGTGCTTTAGCCTGCTGAGCTATCTGGCCGGCCCAACATTAAAAAAGTTTTTTTTTAATGGAGAAGACTCATTAGCACTTTGTACATTACCTACCCATATATCCATCTGTTGATATGCTTTTTTTTTTTTTTTTTTTTTTTTTTTGGCAAGGGTGGATACAACCTTGTTATGTAAGTTCGGGCTTGCCTTGAACTCATGGCAATCTGAGTGCTGCAATTACAGGCATTTACCACCATGCCCAGTCTCGTTTTTTAGTCTTGCTAAGTTGTCCAGGATGCCCTGAAATTCTAGATTGACCTGTGCTAGTTTCCTGAGTAGCTGGACTTACAGATGTGTGTCACCTCAGTCAGCTTTTTTTTTTTTTTTTTTTTTAATTGGGCTAGTGAATTTACACTGAGAAGAGTGGTTAGTGAAGTAAAAAAGGAACAGCAATTATTATATATGATAGGTTATGGCCCTAGTAAGAATTGCTAAATTATTATGGTGGTCATCTAATATGGCTGAAACCCTTAAAACAACAGCTTATCTTCCCAGAGACCACCTCACCTCTTCTTCTCCAACTCAGCCCAGGATGCAGTTTCCTTTCACCTTTCTCTCCACCTCAGGGAAGGCCCCAATCAGCTCCTCAGGTATATCTAAACTTCCCCCTCAAGCCCCACCCCTGGCAAAGGCCATAAAAGCCTCAGCCTCCCTTTGTTCCAATCCAGAGAATTCCTTATCTT